GGGGTGCCCTACCAGCCCTCGCCGAAAACCCCTCGCCATCCCCCCGCGCGAGCCCGCCTGTTGCCTGTTCGCTTATGTCAATGACGCTTTTCCCCCCTCCCCCCGCCCCCCCGCCCGATCGTGCGTCCTTCCGCGCGCACCAATACACGGCAACTCGAAAGCTGGCGTTTCGCAATCGGAGAGTCGGACCATGGTACCCTCTATACTGACGTCTCTCGGGAAAAAATAGTAGCACTAGTCTGCCGTGCTAAGGAAAAACGCCGTATGAGCCGGCAGGCGTTGCTTTATTTCCTTTAATAACCAAAGATTTCACTGGGAAAATTCTGAATATTTTTCTTACAACTTTTAAGACAATGGGCCTGTTGCAAACTTTTGCTAGAGCAAAAATAAGAGTTGTTTCTTATAGATAATGCCTCAAAAATCACGATTAGCGCATTGGCAAAGTCTGAAATGCACTCATAACTTCACAATCTGCGTAAGAAATTTGCGTTTTTTTAAGCTTCCCGCTTCAAAAACGATACTACGGCATAGGTGAACATTTTGTTAGAGGAGTCGCTCCATCGTCGGCGATATTCATCATGGCCGACGCTTGCACGCAGTTCCGCGCGTAATTCAAGGAGAGTTCAAGGTCAATCAATTCGGGCGTGGAAAATATGAACGTTAACACACCGATTGTTATCTGGTCTAATCCAGTTCAGGTGTTATCTCGTCCCATCAAACGTGTTTTGGCGGATTGGCGTCGGCTATGATGATTATTGCCGACGATGTAACGACTCCTCTTACAAAATGTTCACCTGTGCCGTAGTATCGTTTTTGAAGCGGGAAGCTTAAAAAAACGCAAATTTCTTAAGCAGATTGTGAAGTTATGAGTGCATTTCAGACTTTGCCGATGCGCTCATCGTGATTTTTGAGGCATTATCTATAAGAAACAACTCTTAGTTTTGCTCTAGCAAAAGTTTGCAATAGGCCCATTTTGCACATTGGAAAAAATAACACATTGGATCTAGAGTCCAGACTCTTAAAAACATCGACAAGAAAAAATACTCTTGATTCAATCGGATTTTTGCTTAAATCAAGAACCAAGCCTCTTAATTTGAGCGGATTTCCTTTGGAATTAAGCTTAAGTCTGATTGAATCAAGAGTATTTTTTCTTGTCAATGTTTTCAAGAGTCTGGATTCTAGATCCGATGTGTTTTTTTTCCAGTGCACCCAATTAATCACAAATATCGGAAAATTTTAAGGAAAAATACGCATAACTTCCTTCAAAAATACATGTTTTTTTCAGGGAAATTTGGCAACTCTCAAGTGTTCATACGGCGTTATTCCTTAGCACGACAGCAGTACCGTCCACACATTCGACATCAAGTCTCCTTCATAATCCCACTGTAAAATGAACTAGCTGATTTGGCTAAAACAGCAAATTTTGCGTGCGGGGCCGTCCCTAAATTGCGGAACGCTCGAGGGGGGAAAGGGAGCTCGAGGAGGCTATTACGTAATTTTCTTTTCACGTGTTAAAGGATAGGAGCCTACGTCACAAAAGCGTTACAAAGGTGGGGAGAGGGGGGTAAAAAATGCCGAAAAAGTGTGATACGTAATTGAAGGATAGCCTCTTATTTGTAAAATAACGGGAGCTATAAAAAAACAGTAATTACGGACACAATTTATAATTCCCCTCTGACAATTTCATGGGTCTTTATAACAGAAGACATGAAATGGGATTTGTACAAATTGCAAATTGGTTAGTTGCGCGCTGGTCACAGAATCAAGTATTGATACTTGATTCTTGTACTGTCTACACAGCCAGCTTTCTAAGTCCAATATTAACCGAAAAATTTGAAAAATTCGGTTTATGGCGTCATCCACCGTGGTAGTGACACCCTTGGTTTCTTCCACCTTGCTTCCATCTGAGTTCCACGTTAAGTAACCAGTGCAAATGTGTGTCTCACTGATTGATGAAAGCAAGAGGTGGAAGAAATCAAAGATTTTACTACCGCGGCGGATGACGTCATGAACCGAATTTTTCAAAGCACGCAATATCTCGGTTGATAATGAACGTAAAAAGTTATTTGAACAGATCTTGTTATTTTTTGCTACTTTACAAGAATCAAGCGCCAAAACAAGATTCTGTGACCAGCGCAACTGACTCGCATCGGCGTGCGTAAGGAAAAGTATCATGCCTTGATACAGGAGACGATAAACTTAAATATAATTAATTAAAATACTAAAATGAGAACAGGATATCGCGCAAAGAAAAATAGGGAGACGAAATTATGATCTTACTGACGATAACTTTATGATCACCCTGTAGGACGCAACATACACACCTCCCTTTATCCATCATCCATGCGATAAAATATTAAGTACGTCCGACTCCCAAAGTAATCCAATTTTAAGCCGTTCGATTATATTGCCTTCGGTTCTCGATGAAAGATGAATTTCGATCAAAAAAAAAATTCCAAGCATCTCGCGACACCAGATACCTTTCTATGCCGCAGCCCAATAGTATGGTGCAAGTATGAGGAACGGAACCCTGATGGAAGATCCAGGCGTATGCGTACCCATACATACATATATTGGATTTTTTCGCTATGTTGGCAATTTAGGAGAAGATAGGATAGGTCCATCACATGGTCACTCCATGTAAAAAGGTAGCATAATAACCAACATTACACCACTGAGTGTATTTTTGCGCCCGTTGCTTTAATTCCTTTCAAAACCGTCACCTTCCTAATTATCTTTGGGAAAGGGTTGTTGTTATCCTGCAAGCGCGTTTACATAGTCATGGCCGGATTTACTTACTTGCCGCCCCCTTCTCATTCGTTTTGAAACATCGATGAAAACCATCAAGTGAACTTGCTGGAGTGGGAGGGGTGCATAAGACGCGTTTACTCGTGTTGGACACATTTTTTGCGAAAGATCTGTTAACACTATCAGCGAAAGTTCACGGAACTTTGCGCGAAAGTTAAGTTCCGTTAACCTATCTCTGCGTGGACAAGGCCTTCTATTTGTAAGAAATGGACGGAAAAATTATGAAAGAACAAACATTCGTGGTTTAATCATTTTAACTTCCGCCACCGTGCGCCGCGCCGACCGCGTGTGTTTGACGCAATGCGTGAAGTATTCATGCAGTCTTGTAGGCGCTTTGCGTTTCACGCTGACCGCTGCTGGCCGTACTGTGTTTGACGCAATACGTGAAGTATTTATGCAGCCTTGTAGGCGCTATGCGTTTCACAAACGCAACGACCGCTCTGTCTTTGACGCTTGAAGTATTCATGCAGTCTTGTAGGCGCTAATATGTGTTACATGCCTCCGCCGCGCCGCGCCGAGGGTTTCTCCTTTTCATCACTAGTTCTCGTCATCATTGCTCTCTGCGTCGCGCCGTTTCAGGCCAAATTCCGTGTTCGGTTTCTCTCTTAGTCTTAACTCGACTATAATTAAAGGTGCTGTCTATTGTATCACAAAAAGAGGACACATTTAGAGATATACTCTCAGGAAATGAGAGATTTTGCCACCTTTTCTCGTTTGTATTTTTTTTCTGAATCCGAGTTATCTTCATACCTACATTTAATTAAATTGCAAAATTTACCGCCCCCTAAATTTTCCGCCATGGGCCGCGACCAATGTGGCCACCCCCTAAATCTGACCCTGTACATAGTGCAAACTGAAGAACGAGACTTAAAATCAGTTTTTCTTCATCACATTAATCTAATTGTTGTATACATGCTCCTTAAGACCCATATCTCGTGTATAAAATTTTACGTAGAAAGCGATTAAGATATTGGGATGTTTGGGGATTAACGCCTAAGCTGTGGCATTAGGGTGGCCCAATTATACACAGTAAAATTTATTTTGCGAAGTTTTTTGGTCTTACCCCCTAGAACTGTTCCATTTGATCAAAAAACACCCTCTGCCAAGTTTCAGCCAAATCGGATAATATTAACCCGTGCCGACAGAGCCATCTTTTTTATATGGGATTTTACATTGAAAAACACATTTTTCCAGAAAAATCCATTTTTCGAAAAATATGTAATTTCTAGAAAAAATCTGAGGTCATATTCGGCTTCAGCGGGAAAAATTAAGTGGGAAAACATGTATTAGACACTTCAAAAAAATTTTTTACCCCTCGTTAAAGCGGCGAAACAACTAAAATATCTAGAAAACGCTAAAAAAGGGTAAAATGACTGTGAAAAATCCCAAATAATTACGTACGTCTGCATCCGAAAACGAAGCTCAACATATGGTAGGTGTTTCCTATGTACTTTTTTACGCTGAGTCGGAATATGCTATTCATTTTCCTCCATCCTATCAGGATTTTCCGGAAAATCGATTTTCTTGTATGAAAAGAGGGTTGAACCTCAACATGTGACGGATGTTTTTCTATGTGTTTTTCAACGCCGAGTCCGATAATGATGACAAAGTTTCTGAGTTACATCAGGATTTTCCGGAAAATCGATTTTCTCGTATGAAAAGAGGGTTTTCCAGGGTAAACTCAATTTTCAGGTAATAAACCTCAACATGTGGCGGATGTTTTTTACGTGTTTTTCAACGCTGAGTCCGAAAATTATGTCAAAGTTGCTCCATTACATCGAAATTTTGCGGAAAATCGATTTTCTCGTAGAAACAGGGTTTTCCGGGGTACCGAGTTTTCCCTGGAAAGTTACCTGTTTTAACGGGAAAAATTTAGTTCCTCAGAAACTCGTAGTGTAATAGAGGGAAACGGTTATGATTTTCGTATTCACCGTTAAACAACACATAAAAAACATCCGCCACATGTTGAGGTTTATTACCTGAAAATTGAGTTTACCCTGGAAAACCCTCTTTTCATATG